GAGGACGCTGTAGTGAGCGCGCCTGTCTGCCTTTAGCGCATTGACGTTAAGCAAAAGGAAAAAGCGCACAGGGTATCTCACTAGGATTCGAACTCTGTGGTCAGAGAGTAGCTAACAAGTAGACCTAACAAGTGCTTGTGAAAGAATGGGAGCGTGGAGGTATAAGAACTAACACCAAGGCAGAATCCGGACATTTTTTTATGCCGTTTGAACTTTCCTTGGAAATTGTTATTTTTTATAGCAACGCACAAAGTTTGTAAAGAAGACAAAATTTTGAAAAACTCGGACAAATTTATAAAAATAAAATAAAAGCGTGAACATATTTCAACAAAACAATTTTTGGAATTCCTGAACATTTACTGAAATAGCGAACATTTATTAACTTTTGAGAAAAAAAATTGGATAATGGGAACAATTTTTGTAAAGCACAAACATATTTTGAAATTCCCAAACATTTTTTTAAAAAACTCGAACAGTTATAGAATTTTGAGAACAAAATTTTATAATGTGAACATGTTTTGAATTGTTAATTTTTTTTAAAAGCATGAACACTTTTTGAAATTTCAGAACATTTTTTGTAAACACGAACAATATTTGGATTTGTAAGACAATTTTTAATATTCTGAATAGTTTTTGATATTGGTAGCATCTTTTGAATTGTTGAACAATTTTTGAGATCCATGAACAATTTTTTAAATTCCCGAACATCATTTGAAACCAGGAACATATTCTAATATTCTCAACACTTTTTAAAAAAATACGAACATTTTTGGAAATTCCCCCAGCATTTTATTGAATTTATGAAAAAAATCAGAAAACATGATAATTTTGGAAATTTTGAAAACAATTTCAAGAAGAGGAACATTTTTTTGTGAAAATTTCATGTGTTTCTAGAAATTATGAAACAATTTTCAAAAACAAGAACATTTTAAAAAAATAGTAACAGTTCCTTGCTTTTTTGGAAAATCCTTATAATTTTGTAGAACTGCGAACTTGTGTTGAAAAAAAAAAGAAACGAAAAACAAAAAGAAAGCAAAAGGAAAAGAAACAGAAAAAGAAAAAGAAATAGAAAAGTGAAAATACTAGAAAACCGATGAAAGAAACAAAAACCCGGTTCAGGGAACCTTCTAGAAGGTACACAAAACCGGATTGAGCAGTTCCTAACGTATCTACGTAAGTGGGCTAGCCCAAGCAGCGTTGCTCGGTCGTTCCCCTATGCGAAGCGCGGGCATTTTGCCGCCATGAGCGGCAATAGGAAATTCCGAAGAGGGCTTCTCTGACTGCTCAGTAGTCAGTAGGCACAGGACGGCGACAGTCCAAATCACATCGGGCCGAATGAGGGAGTGAGGCCATGAGACTGCCACGCTGGCTCGCTCGTTTCGTCGAGAGAAAAAGAAGAAGAAAGAGCGTGTGCATACAGACGTTGTGGTCGATCGATCGGCGCAAAGGCATCTATATTGAATATCAAACAAAGCTGAGAAGTGTTCCCTCAAAAAAAAACTGAGAAGTGAATTCGCACTTTCCTACACGATTGTCAATCCAAGAAATGAATTATTCAACACATTGCCACAAACGATATCATAAACAAAACACACTTTCTCAGTTTCTCTACATGAAATTTAAGTACCCTGTTTCTCAACAAGGAAAAAAATTGAGAACATTTTTTGAAAACAAATTCTACCTTTTCTTGCCCACCGGAATGATGTTTCATTTTATTGTCTGTTTTGACGCTTTAGCTGAATATTGCTCTATTTGTTTCCTTTGCTCAAACGCATTAACTCTCCATCTCTCTACTATCCGGTTGGATAAGGTTACAAAAGTTCCGATGCCCATCATCAATCTATATGAGCTCAAGTGCCACACAATTTTCCGCAAAGAACTTGGCTAGGGAAAAGCTATTAAGCTCCTTCAACAGAACTACAGCTTAACCCACACACAAAAAATTGCAGCTTCGCATTTTTCAGATGATTCCGCAAGCAATTGAACTAACAACCACTCAACTCTAGAAGCTCTGCGACATCTCATGAACAAGTCAAGAGACACATCAAAAGATGGTAGTGCCACATCATCTTTAACAATTCCATTAGAATTTTGGTTAATAATCCGAATTTGCAAATCGTTGATGACAAGGCAGCACTGGAGCAAGTTGGCAATGGTAGTAGCTACTTTGTTTCTGCGGCCGGGTCAAATGGACCTTCAAGCTCCAGTCGTTCCAGAGTAACCAACGGGACCAAGTGCTCATGTTGCACGCCCTCGTCTACTGCCATGCCCTTGATGCTTGCCACCTCCAATTTGAGGATCTTGGCATGTCGAAGGTTGCCAGGGAACTGCTAGAAAGATGTAAGTATTTTTCTCCACAAAGTTTGTGAGGTTTTAACTTTTCGAAAAATCTAGGAGGGAGTAGAAAATAAAATCTACACCAAAGAAGCAGTAGTCAAATAGCACGAGAGATGCACCGACCGCTCCTCAACGACATCAGTGTAGCGCTGCTCTACCGTCGCTGGTGCATGAGCATCCACGTGTCGCTGCGCACCTTCCAGTTTGTCTTTTTGGCTGTGGAGATGATCCGTCATTTTTTTTCTTGGTGGCTACTGTGGTGGTGTCAGAGGGCAGGTGAAGAGCGTTGGTGTTAAGCTCATATAATTATTTGGTCTTGTTTGTATTATTAATTCTTGGTTGGTGGTCATGTGTGCAAAGACTGGTGTTTTGTTGTTTTTCAGTTTTATCAGGTCAATATGTACGTGATTTATACTACGATCCTTATGATATAGATAAGACATGTATTATCATATAGAAAAATACACGCTCTATATGCACCAGTACAATGTGTAGGCAAGTATCCCGGCCAGGAGCTGACTAGCGCTTGGTCATTGGCCTGATCTATGTGCGCGGAGGTCTTATCTTTGTCATTTATGCCAACTTGCCAAGACTTATGACTGCACAAAAAATGTTCTTAAATTTTAAAAATGTTCGTAAATACAAAAAAAAGTTCAAGAATTTGAAATAATATGTGCAAAATTGAATTTTTCCGAAATTTTTAAAAATATATAGAAAATAGATAAAATGTTCTGGATTTTTTATTAAAAATTGTGAAATTTAAATAAAATGATCATGAATTTTTTTAAATAATTCATAAAGTGTTCCTGAATTTCAAAAATCTTCATAAATTTGATAATTTTTCAATATTTCAAAACATGTTCTGAGTTTCATAAAAATATTCACAAAAACTAAAAATATCCATAAATTAAAAAGTGTTCCAGATTCAATAACAAATTCATTAATCCGAAAATTGCTCTCGAATGTTAAAGATGTTTCAGATTAAAAAATATCTCGAGAATTAGGAAAAACTATTTCCGCAAAATGTACTGTTTTTTTCACAAATTTCAAAAATTGTTCATGAATATATAAAATGAAAGAAAGGAAAAGTAAAAGAAAAAAAGCAAAACCAAAAATGTAAAATGAAGAAAACAAAAGAAGACGCCATAAAAAATAAAGAAAGCCGGCAAAAAGAAACCGAGAAAAAACCCGGTTCTATGAAGGTGCTTGAACCGCCCCAAAACCGGTGGGGGATAGAAAGAAAAGTGAAAAAACACTGAAAGGTGTTAGTATCGACCCAAACAAAACCGGTTCGTGGGTTGCGACGGACTCCCTCTCTATTTGATACGGCCCGGCCCGCCCCCACCGCCTCAGGAAGTCTCACAAGGTCCAGACCAGACCGCGAAAGAGCGAGGTCGACCTGTCTGTCGCCGGCGGCGGAGGGAGACTGCAGGATGGGCGTCCCGGCGTTCTACCGGTGGCTGGCGGAGAAGTACCCGATGGTGGTGGTGGACGCGGTGGAGGAGGAGGCCGTGGAGGTGGAGGGCGTGAAGGCGCCGATAGACACGTCCAAGGCCAACCCCAACGGCCTCGAGTTCGACAATCTCTACCTCGACATGAACGGGATCATACACCCCTGCTTCCACCCCGACGACAGGGTACCTACCTACCTACCTACCTACTTGTGTACTTGATTGGGCTAGCTAGCTGTTCGATTCGCAGCCGGGTCTTACTTAATTATTTGTAGAATCATATTTTTTTTGCAATTCAAAGGGAGGGATCTTCAATACTGTCCGTCCCCAAATCATCTTGAGGTTGCAGGAGGATGTTACTATAGTTCAACTATACAAATTTGATGATGCATTTCCAAGATTCAATCCGGTTTTTCTGTTCTTCATCAAACTATTTACACAGCAAAACTAATTTCTGGGCAAGTGAATCTGCACAAGATTCAATTCTATTTTAGTTAGGACGCCCTGCAGATTAATTGTGGATTGCACACTGCTACTGTATCAACAACAGTCCTACCGCAAACATTTTGTTTCCCCATTTATTTACCAACAGTCCTGCAGATTAATTGTGGATCTTAGTTAGTTCCCACATCCAGATGAGAGCTAGCCACACCCGATATCCAACCACTACGTTGGCCGTTGTTCTCACTTCTATTGCATTTTGTGCCACAGCCCTCGCCAACGACATTTGCTGAGGTCTTCCAGTGCATGTTCGATTACATAGACAGGCTCTTTCTCATGGTTCGCCCTCGCAAGCTTCTGTACATGGCCATTGGTACGCGTTTCATCTCTTTGTCATATATATTACTTCACTTGTTAAGTTTTCCTTTGAACAAATTGCTATTAATTGTATGTACCTAGCTACATTAAACTACAATGGCTTACAGATGGTGTGGCTCCTCGTGCTAAGATGAACCAGCAGCGCTCTAGACGATTCAGAGCTGCAAAAGATGCTGCTGATGCGGTCAGTGTTCTAATGGAATCATCTTCTCATATTCAGTGTGTAATTGTATAGCCGTATCTATTGTTATTTGTGGACAGTTGCAACCATCTATGATTGCACTCACTGGTCACTTGCGTCCTATGTCCAGGCCGAAGAAGAAGAAAAACTGCGTCAAGACTCAAGAGTTTGAGAGGGAAGGAAGAAAGCTTCCTCCAAAACAGCAATCACAAACCTGTGATTCCAATGTTATTACTCCCGGGACAGAGTTCATGGCTGTTCTATCAGTTGCTTTGCAGTACTACATCCACCTCAGGTTGAATTATGATCTTGGATGGAAAAAAATTAAAGTAAGCATGACCTTTTTTTTTTTTACTAATTTGGCTTTAAAATGCATTTGTTAATATGCTTAGTCATAATATTTCCTTAAGATTCAGAAACTCTATGGATTGTTATTAGAAAGTATGTAGAAATAATATGTGTCCTGATTTACAATCTTTTGAAGGTTATTCTCTCTGATGCCAATGTTCCTGGTGAAGGGGAGCACAAAATCATGTCCTACATTCGTGGCAATAGGAACCTCTGTAATGAACTTAACGCAAATACCCGACATTGCCTGTATGGCCTGGTAAGTTCTGTTTTTGTATGCTTAATGTTCTCTTTGTTGTTTGCTAATTTATCTGTTATTAGTCTCGCTAACGCATAAATTTAATCTCATGAATGCAGGATGCAGATCTGATCATGTTAGCTCTAGCAACACACGAAGTACACTTCTCCATACTGAGAGAGGTTCTCTTCTCAAAATACAGAATTTACACTTTTTGACCATATTATACATGTCACAGCCTTGTGCTAAGAAAAATTTATACGCCTTTTTGAATTTTACTGTTGTCTATGTTGCTACTCTACTTTTAAAAAAGTAAAGTTTTTTCTTTCTTTTAGAGCACTCATTTTCCTTGAACATTTTGTTCGACGTTATGCCATGAAATCTTATTTGCATACACTTTGTGTTTGCAGGTGGTGTTTACACCTGGACAGCAGGACAAATGCTTCCTGTGCGGTCAAGTTGGACATCTAGCAGCAAAGTGTGAAGGAAAGGCAAAACGGAAAGCTGGGGAGTTTGATGAGAAGGGTGATGAAATAGTACCAAAGAAACCTTACCAGGTAATAATGATCAATTTCTTTAGTTGCAGCTTGTGGTGTGGCGCTATTCAGTGGACTTACCGACGGACTTATTCTCATTTGTACTGCTCCACTTTCATGCTTGCACAGTTCTTGAATATATGGACCCTACGAGAGTACCTAGAATACGAGTTCAGAATGCCAAATCCACCTTTCAAGATTGATCTTGAACGCATCATTGATGATTTCATCTTCATGTGCTTTTTTGTTGGCAATGATTTTCTTCCACACATGCCGACACTAGAGATTCGTGAGGTTAGTTTGTGTAGTGTTACATTTTTCTTCTTTCAAAGTTTGAAACGTTCCTCTGTTTTAGTTCACTTTCTTAGATTGTTGCCACATGACACAATGGTTACTCTCATATCTGTCTGCAGGGAGCTATTAATTTGCTAATTGCTGTATACAAGAAGGAATTTCCTAATATGGGTGGCTATTTAACCGACACTTGCACGGTATTGTACATCATCTGACCTATGTGGTTTCTTTGTCAGAAATTTATTTTATGTGAAATGATCCTCATGGGCACATCAGCAATAACACATTTAATCTTCATTGTTGTAGCCGGATCTGAATAGAGTTGAACACTTCATTCAAGCAGTTGGTTCATACGAGGATAAAATATTTCAGAAAAGGGCTCGTTTGCACCAGGTATAAAAAAGATGACTGTCTTGATTTTGCTTATCAATCTTGCTTAACTTCAGCTATACCTGGCGTGTATATTGTGAAGAGCAATATGCCTATATGACATTTCTTACCTATATACACTTGATGCTCAGCTGTTACTACTTACTAGTAGTGTGTGCTTTCACTGACAGTTTACGTTTACAACGATGCTGTCCTTTGCAGCGTCAAGCTGAAAGAATAAAACGTGATAAAGCCCAAGCAAAGCGAGGCGATGATCTGGATCCCCATGTCAGTGCTGATCTTATTGTACCTGTTGCAAGTTTCCAAGGGCCTCGCCTTGCCTCTGGGTCTGTGGCTTCACCATATGAACATAATGGACCTCATAAAGATAGCACGGAAAAGGGCGGTCGAGCTAAGAAAGCACGCGTATCATCTTCAGATTCCAGCCTTTCTGCTGCTGTTGTTGAAGCTGAAATTAGCATCGAAGCACAGGTACTTAATTTGATCTTGTTTGAGAAGGTATTATATTTGTTTTGAAGATATTTTTATGGTTTCATCTGAATCTTGCTGCATCTCTTACAGGCACGTGAAAACAAAGAAGAACTGAAGTCAATGCTTAAAGTCGCACTTCGTGATAAATCAGATCTTTTTAATTCTGAAAATCCAGAGGAGGACAAGGTATGCCTTGTATCTTTGGTATCTGTGCACAAGTTTTCTTCTGCTGCTGTATCAGTTGGTTGCAGTTGTAAGTTCAAGTTTGTCCTAATATAAGTTCTCAGAGACTATTCCCTGCTGTGGGAGCTAGTGCCCCACCCCTTGTTTTTGGAACTTCTAATATGTTGCACACAACACTAAGTTATCAAAGATATTTGGGGCTTTGGGAATTGAAAGTACACTTCTATTTTTTTGGATCTTCTGAAACTCTATTTTTTATATTTTACTCAAGTATGTTAATATTCAGATAAAGCTTGGAGAACCAGGATGGAGGGAAAGGTATTATGAAGACAAGTTTGGGGCAAGAACACCTGAGCAAATTGAAGAAATACGTAGAGATGTTGTAAGTATCATGGAAGTGTCTTTAATATACTGCATTCATGAATAAAAGCAAACCGCATTCATGATTCATGTGGACACCATACCCTGTTGCCATTATTACTGAATTCATGATAGAAATTTTCACTTGATCATTATTTAAAAAAAACATTTCCCCTAATTCTCTATTATCTTCTTATATGATGTGCTCTATGCTCCTTCAGGTTCTCAAATATACCGAAGGTCTGTGCTGGGTAATGCACTACTATTATGAAGATGTCTGCTCATGGCAATGGTAATTTAGCTTGTTTTAATTGGCCAATTATATGCCACACAGTTCTATTTGTAGCACGATTGCTGATATTTTTAATTAATTCCTCTACCCATCCTACCAATACCTGTTTCATTCTAATTTATTCTCACTATGTGTAGGTTTTACCCTTATCACTATGCCCCTTTTGCTTCGGATTTAAAAGGTTTAGGCCAGCTTAATATATCTTTTGAACTTGGGTCACTATTCAAACCTTTCGATCAGCTTATGGGAGTATTCCCAGCGGCGAGGTGAATATTCTAATATTATATTTTTTTTCAATCTTAGTACCTTCATGTGGTGGATTATTTGATAGTTTGTTTCTTTGCATTTCAGCTCACATGCACTCCCTCTACGGTATCGGCAGTTGATGACTGATCCAAGTTCGCCCATAATTGATTTTTATCCGATTGGTATGCTTATTTTTCAAAGATATAATCACAAATAGTATCTGATTCTCCTAGCTACAACCTTAAGCGAATTCTAATCCGGTTGAACCTTTGTACGTATGCTGCAGATTTTGAAGTAGATATGAATGGAAAGAGATTTTCTTGGCAGGTACATTTATCTTAGTAAGCATAATTATGTATATCATACTTCTTCCATGTTGAATTTAACTAAAATTTGTACTTAACAGGGGATAGCCAAACTGCCCTTCATTGATGAAGCTAGGTTGCTGTCTGAGATTGAAAAAGTCGAGCATACTTTGACGGTATGGAACAGTGTCTCGTGTGTTTTTGTTTTTATGGCATACATGTAGTAGAAGATCTTGTTTTAACTTCTAAGATTTCCATATTTTCCTCATCTTTTGTGTAGCCTGAAGAAGCAAGACGAAACAGTACAATGTACAATATGCTTTTTGTGAATAGCTTGCACCCAATTGCGCCTTATATCTATTCTCTCAGCAGCAAATTCGGACATCTGCCCAATAATGAGCGAAATGAAATTAAAGAGCCACTCAAGCCTTCTGCCAGGTTAGCTAACCCTACCAGGATTCTTGATTGACTGCAGATAGTATTTTCTTGTTAAACTGTACTAGTTCCACCATATTATATAGTACTCCCTCCGTCCGAAAAAGCTTGTCCCAAGCTGACACTCAAATGGATGTATCTAGCACTAACTTGGTGATAGATACATCCATTTAAGGGACAAGCTTTTCCGGACGGAGGGAGTACTGTATAACAAATAAGCGGCTCTTATTTGAGCTGCTATAACTACAACATCACTTAATTAGCCGCTCTTGCTTATTTTGTGCAGTGGAGGAATGAGTGGTTACATCTCACTTTGTGGTGGGGATCCAAGTCCACCTGTCTTCAGATCTCCTGTCGGTGGACTGGAGGATATTATGGACAATCAAGTGATGTAAGTTCATCTTCCCCCTGTATTATTGATATGATCTAGTGGCACTTGAATTCAAGATTGTGACATTTGGCTTCTCTAGATGCTCAATTTACAAGCTTCCAGATCCTCATAAGCACATAGAGCGTCCACCTGCTGGTGTCATCATGCCCAAGAAGGTACAGAACTGTTGTTTATTTTCGGGTAACATCAACATGTGTATATCATTCCACTCGGGAAGTGTTCACGGTTAACAAGCGTTGTTTAATCTGCTCTGAAGATTGTTGAAGCTGGTGATCTGAAACCACCGCCTGTGCTGTGGCATGAAGACAGTGGCAGGAGGCCTTATGATGATAACAGGAGGCATTGTGATAATAGCAGCAGGTTGGTAGTGTATGAGCCTTTTGCCCTTCGATTTAGTCAATCCTTGCTTCCACGCACTGAGAATCCTAACCAACTTTTGAAATGGTTCAGGCAAAACCCTGCAG